TAAGTGCCCCTGGGTTTTATCCCTGGTTCCAAAAAAATAAAAATAGGTAAATAAAATTATAGCTCAGTGATAGAGCAGCCCTGGGTTCAATCCCTAGTAAAGTCAAGTCCCACTCAGGGACTAAGGAGCAGGGTCCTGTGCCTACAGGCAGTGTGAGTGCCCAAAGGAACCCCAGAAGACAGAAGTAGACTGCCCAGCCATTAGAAGGACTGCAGCCTCGGTAGAGCAACAGGCAGCAGAGGGCAACTCAAGGAGACAACAGGATGGAGGTGGTTGCTAGAAGTGAATGAGCAGGGGAATGAACAGAAAGACAGGGCTGTGGGTGTGGCTGAGGGGTGGAGCACCTGCCCAGCAAGTGCAAGGCCCTGGGTTCCCCTGCTGGGGGTGGGGTGGGGGGGTGGGAAAGAGAGAAAAGCAGGGTGGAGGGGGGGGGGAAGAGGCATGCACTAGAAAGAGTTGCCCAGTGGCAGGCCATGGGATGTCCACACAGATGGTTCTGAGGAAACCACTCAAGTGGCCCTGCAGCTGCCAACTGAGCCCAGCAAGGCCGCAGGCGCTAGAGCAATGGCTCTGCACACCAGCAAGAGCCTGTGCATGTGGAAACAAGTTGACTTTTGCAGTGCTTTCCAGGCCGGAGTCCTGGGCCACATCCCACAAAGCACCTGTGGGATCCGATGCTTGTGGCTGCACAGCGCCTGGGCTGGGTGCCACTCAGCGCACAGCGCCTGCCTGTGCCACAGCCAACCTGCACAGCCCCTCAAGGGCATGGGCTGTGCTCCAGACTGCGCCAGGCTGCTGGGGGTGCAGCGGGACCCTAGGAGGTAAGCCAAGTAGGGAGGGCCCAGTGGTCAGAGGGGTGTCCTTCTCACTCCTGTGGGTGGACATGGCTAAGTGTGTCCCCTAGGGTGGCACTGTGGGAAGGCCATGGGCCCTCAGTAGGTGGGGCCAGGTGGGAGGTCCTTTTCTGGGGACATGCCCTCGGCCTCCCGAGTGGCTGGGATTACAGGTGGGTGCCACTGTGCCTGACTCTGGCTTCTTTTTCTTTTTTATTTTTGTGAAAAAGGAAAAAGATGGGTTTATTGCTTTGTTGGCAAAAGTTTCTGGTTGGGTGCTCACACTGGGCTCTTTCCACTTGGGTTGGCGGCTCGTTTTGTGTTGGATGGTGCTGGCTTTGCTCACCCCCACAAGATCCAGCGTGGGCTGTGGCCTTTCTGTGTATCCTCAGAAGCAGGGAGTGGGCTGGTTGGGGCACTGATGGATCTCCTGGACAGGTGCTGTACTGGTGTTCCCCACAAGGTGGGCAGAGCACCTGCGGGGATGCTAGGAGGCTCTGCCAGCTGTTCACTGTCAGTAGCTCTGTGCTACCCTCAACAGTATCCTCACCCACCAGCCTGTGTCAGGGCTTCCAAGAGAGATCGCCCTGGCCCCTCCCTCTGGAGAGAGGGACTGTGAAGGCTTCAGGTCTGAGATGTGCCAGGTCTGCCACAGGCTGTAGGCCTGGGGAGGTATCGCCCGCATCCATGGGCAATAGAATCGAGATCACCCTGCGTGGTTTGGGCTGTCAGCAAAAAGACCACACAGACACGGAAGTAATTTCTTCACAAAGCCTGGCGGAAGGCGGGTGGTGGTGGTGGACAGCTCTGCGACCTCCGGGGTCCTCTTCCACGCTGGAAGGCAAGAGAGCAAGTGCACCCGGAATCACTTTATTTATAGGGAAAAGACAAAGGATTTTCAATAGAATATTCTACACCAAATAAAGCAGGGGGTAAGCTTTCAGGGTGCTGTCCAGTCCCACTGGGTAACGCTCAAGCCCAGGGCTGAAGCAAATTCTTTGTCGAGCCAAGGTGAAGGCCACTTGCTTCGAAAAAGCTTGTGGTGTGCAATGCCAGGCCAACACCCCCTTTAATCAAGGCTGAGAGGAGTGCTTAGCTCATGGGCAGGGCGGCCTCCCACAGGGAACGGGCTGGTGTTACCCTGGAGTCTGAAAGCCACGTGTCATGGGGGATATCAGCCCCCCTGACCTTTATAAAAGTCCTTCAACTGATTGGGCAAGGCCCATCTGCATTGTGCTTTCAGCAGTCTACTGTGATTAATGCTGATCTCATGTGAAACACATCTTCACAGCAACACCCAGACATGCCGACTGAACGTGTTCTGAGGTCAGATGGACGTGGAATGAATCCTCATGGCACTTGTGATGCTTCTGGTCTGAACCGGCCATTGCTATTGTACTACTGTCATGGTGTTCCCTGTGTGGTGACTTGTTAGCTGCTGTCCTAAGGAGGGCTTCTCTTCTTGCTTGTTTGTCAACTTGGCTTAGATTCCTGGATTTTTAATTTTCTTTTTTTTTTTGGTACTGAGGATTGAACCCAGGGGTGCTTAACCACTGAGCCACATCCCCAGCTTTTTTTTTTTTTAATATTTTGAGACAGAGTCTCACTGAGTTGCTAAGTGCCTTGCTAAGTTTCTGGGGCTGGTTTTGAGCTCGAAATCCTTGTGCCTCAGCCTCCAAAGCTGCTGGGATTATACGTGTGTGCCACTGTGCCTGGCAGATTCCTGGATTTTTATTTCATTCAGTGGACCATGAGTAGTTATTTATTATCGTTTTTTTCTTCTTTTTTTTTATTTTTGGTACTGGGGATTGAACCTAGGGGCGCATTACCATTGAGCCACATCCACAGCCCTTTTTATTTTTTGTTTTGAGACAGGGTCTCACTAAGCTCTTAGGGTCTAAGTTGCTGAGATTGGCCTTGACTTGGTGATCCTCCCGCCTCTACCTCCTGAGCTGCTGGGATTACAAGCGCATGTGTGCCATGGCGTCCAACTTGTTTTCCCCTTTTCCTTTTTTTTTTTTTTTGGTACTGGGAATTGAACTTAGGGGTATTTAACCACTGAACCACATCCCCAGCCTTTTTTTATGTTCTATTTAGAGACAACCTATCAGGTTCTCTCTTGTCTTGTGGGAACTCTGCCTCTTCTCACTTGAATAAATCCTACCCTATGCTAAAACAAAACAAAACAAAACAAAAAACAAAGGAATAAAAAGGGCTGAGGATGTAGCTCAGTGGTAAAGGGATCCTGGGTTCTATCTCCAGTATCACCAAAAAAAAAAAGAAACGCTTCCTTCCTACTTCCACTTAGATAAGGATATTCTCCCAGGTTTTCCTGAGGTCTTGCTTTGATTCCTCTGGGGCTGGTTTTGTATAAGGCAAGAGGTGGTAATGTGAATTCACTACCTGGAGAGAGCCAGGGCTGCAGTGCTGACTTGGCAGGCCTGGACTGGGTTCAATCCCAGCACCACACCAAAACAAAAACAAACATGGAAGGGAATCAGTGGCACTGTGGACCAGCCCCAGCCCACACCTGCCCTGGCCAGCAGGGCCCCTTCTGCAGGTCAGTGACCCCAGAGAAGCAGCTTGTTTCTGGATTCTGTCCTGCTTGCTTTTGGCCATTTGTTCTTTCTACTGATTGCTGGCATCAGCTTGGCAAGCAACACTGAAAGCTTTGTGTTTACAGGTTATTTGGAGAGAAAACCCGCCATCTCTGCGTTCTCTCTGTCACTGTGTCAAAACATCCACTAAGCTAAGTCAGCATAAGGAGAGGTTCTTCCTGGCCCATGATTTTGTGGCCCTGTAGCTTTGGGCCTGTAGCATGTCGTGGTGGAAGCATGGGGGTCGCAATGTCCTCTTCAAAGGCATGCCCCCAGTGTCCTACTTCCTCCAACTGGGCCCTACTCCTAAAGGTTCCACCACGGGCTCCTAGTCGTGCCCCAAGCTGGGGACCAAGCCTTCAGTACGCAGGTCTTTGGGGGAGGTTAAGATCCAGACCACAGTTATCCACAAATACAGCTCAGCTGCCTCCTTCAGACCCTTCAACAGAAGTGTCTTATTTAAAACCTCATCTCACTCACCCGGACCTGAGGTTGAAAATGGCACTTTCTAAAAGATGCCGCTTTGTGTCCCGATTGTTGTTTCCTGGTCTTGTCCCGCACCCTGGCTGTCTATTACAAACCCTGATCTGTTTTTTTGGTGTTTGAATATGGAAAATCGTTCTGACTGTAAAACAGGCGTTGACTTCTTCCTTTCCAGCCCTTCTAACTTCTTTCCTTAACACTGAAAAGAGTGGACGTGGCGGGCGCCCGGCGGACCCCGCGCTCTGGACCCGGCCGGGCTGAGAGGCTGCAGGAGGAGCCCAGCACCCAGAGTGCGGCGCGGCTTCCCCCGGGCGCAGGCGGAACCGGCCCCTCCGTGTCGCCTGCGCCGCGTCCTCCTCGGCACCGCACGCACGCGTGCCTATCGACAGCGCAGATCCCGAGAGGGCGAGTGGCTTCCCCAGAACCACAGGTCAAAGCCAGGCCCGGGAGGCCTCAGCTGGGATCCGTCGGCCACGCCTCGCGCAGGCCAGGCGCGGCCCTGCAGGCCCCGCGCCCTCGCCCACCGCCGAAGGTCGCCGCCGCCTGCCTTCGCCAGCTGCATCAGCTCAGTACGACGCGACCCAGTGAGCGCAGGCGCACAGGGCGGGCCGCGGCCGGGGGCGGGGCCGGGGCG